AACCATGTTGATTCACGTTTCCTCCCTCTTGAAGCTTCCTCCCATCTCCCATCCCCTCCCACCTGTTCACTCTGTCTGTGTCTCCATTGCTGCCCTGCACATAGCTTCATCAGCACCATCTTTCCAGATTTCATAGGTGTATATTAATATACAGTGTTCACTTTCCTCTTTCTGAGTCACTTCACTCTGCATAATAGGCTCTAGGTTCATCCACCTTATTAGAACTGACTCACATGCCTTCTTGCCAGCCAGCCAGTATCTGGAGGGCAACTCAAGGAGGCATCTGCTTGGTGTACAGGTGTGCAAGAGGATAGCAGTTTCATGTTCTATTTATTCTTGGTCAAAGTATTGTTATCTGTGACATAAGATATCCAGATTATGAAACAGGAGCTGACATAAGTAACAATGTGTTGTATTTATATCTCAAATTTTAAACCTGAGGCTGGAAACTTAAGGAATTTATAGCAAGGTGTGAAACCATTTATCTCTGTGCCAGTTGTTTAAGAAAATAAATATGAATGCCTGTCAGCTCTTGTTCCTTCATTGCTGTTGAAGAGCCTGACTAAATATTTCCCTCTCTCTGTGAAGTCACTCAAGCTCAGGCCTGTGCCCAAGGGACTTGAAAGACCCGAGTTACTGAATGAGCCCCAGTGAAGAGCTCTTGGCTAGATTGTCTTACATGGCAGTCAGGCGTCTCCTTGACACAGGGAGAAACTTTTAGTATTTAAGAATAAGTGGCCTCTGATTATGTTTCTCCCCTCAAGAGTAGTTTTTACAGCTCTGTGGTAGGTGTGTGACTCTGTAAGGAAATACCTATTCTTACTTCACCTGTGAGAGATTCTTCTATTTCTTTTTCAAGACTTTTTTTTTTTTTTTTTTGATTTATAGCAGTCAGGAGTTCAAAATGACCACTCTGGCTTTCTATTGATTCCAGATAAGCATTTTCTTCGTTGTCTAATAGTCTGTTTAAAAGCCATGAAGTAAAACACAGCTGGTTCAATTCCAGCTGACTACCAACTTACTACAACCTCCAAGCAATGGATGTATTGTTTCGGTTGGTTCTTAGTTGTATAGTGGGCTGTTCTTAGTTCACCACTGGGCTGAAACCAAGCAAGGGTCACACCTGCTTCTCTTTGGTTGTGAATGAGCAGTGACAGGCCTGCTTGAGTTCCCTGCCATGAGAAAGCATGGTTAGAATCACAGCATAAGAGAAATGGGAAAAGGGAAGGAGGGGAGGGGCAGGAGAAAGGGGAAGAGAAAGACAAGCAAAAGGAAGGGGAGAGGAGTGGCCATCATCCAGCGGCCGTCCCATTCTTTCATTCACTTATTTATTTAACAATTTTATTTATTTTTAATTGGAGGATAATTGTTTGACAATATTGTGTTGGTTTCTGACATATATCAACATGAATCAGCCATATGTATACATACGGTTAGGGCTTCCTTTGTATCTCAGATTGTAAACCATCTGCCTGCAATGCAAGAGACATGGGTTCGATCCCTGGGTCAGGAAGATTCCCTGGAGAAGGAAAGGGCAACCCACTCCAGCATTTTTCCTGGAGAAGTTCATAGACAGTGGGACCTGGTGAGCTACAATCCACAGGGTCGCAAAGAATCAGATGTGACTGAGCGACTGACACACACATATACACATATATGGCAGAACAGCAGTGGGGATACGATTATAGAGAATAGACTTGTGGACAGGGATTGTTGTTGTTCAGTTGCTAAGTTGTATCTGACTCTTTGTGACCCCATGGACTGCAATTTACCAGGTTTCCCTGTTCTTCACCATGTCCTGAAGTTTGCTCAAACTCATGTCCATTGAGTCAGTGATGCCATCCAACCATCTCATCCTCTGTCATCCCCTTCTCCTCCTGCCTTCAGTCTTTCCCAGCTTCAGGGTCTGTTCCAGGGAGTCAGTTCTTCACATTAGGTGGCCAAAGTATTGGGAGTTTCAGCTTCAGCATCAGTCGTTACAACAGATATTCATGACTGATTTTCTTTAGGATTGACTGGTTTGACCTCAAGGGACTCTGAAGAGTCTTCTCCAACACCACAGTTCAAAAGCATCAGTTCTTCAATGTTCAGCCTTCTTTGTGGTCCAACTCACATCTGTACATGGCTACCGGAAAAACCATAGCTTTGACCAAATAGACCTTTGTTGGCACAGTAACGTCTCTGCTTTTTAATACACTGTCGAGGTTTGTCATAGCTTTTCTTCCAAGCAGCAAGTGTCTTTTAATTTCATGGCTGCAGTCACTGTCCCCATGGATTTTGGAACCCAAGAAAATAAAGTCTGTCTCTGTTACCATTGTTTCCCCACCTATTTGCCATGAGGAGAGGGGACGGGATGCCATGACCTTAGCTTTTTGAAAAGATACTTCGGGGCATTTCTTATAAAGTTTACAATATAAAACAGTTTTAACTTGGTTAAAAACAATTGTCTAGCTTGTTGTCCTTTGTATTTAGGCAAGCATTATCTTGGATGAGTGAAAGCCCTGAAAGAACTCACCTGGGCAAACCACGCCAGCCTCTTCTCACAATAAACCGCTTGCCGCACAGCTAAGGGGAACCATGAGTTGCCTCTGTTTGTCTCCTCTGCTCCATGCAGAGCTCCCTGCATGCAGGTCCTAATGAGCAGCGAAGTTGTCCCAGGCCTGAGGTGGGAGGGACATCCAGGGTGACAGGGCTGAGACCCACACGGGCTAATTAGTGTGCAGCTAATTGACCTTTCCCAGTAATTGTATTCCTCGGCCTTTGGCAACCAGAGGGTGGGGGCTTTCAATATCTCTGTGTAGCATCACATCTTTGATCATAATGAAAACTAGCTGTAAGAAATGTGAAATAAATTCAAAGCATAAATCACAAAGTGCCGGTCTTTTGAAAGTCTTTATTTTTTTAAACGAAAGATCAAGTTGAACGAACAGTTTTTATTCTCATCCAATTAATATAAATTGGAGTTTGTGTTCATTCATCACTATGGAGGTGACCGAGAGCATGAGAGAGCGGATTCAGTGGGAATGATTTTTGGTTCTTCTGACTCCCACGGAATGCCCTAAGCTCATCCTGTCTTTAACCACATTATCTCATTGTTAGCAATAGCCATACAAAACATTTGTTAACCATTATGTTAAAAAAAAAAAACCACACACCTTGAAATGCCTTCCTAAATAATTGCCTTTTTTTTCTTTGTTTGGCATAGAAAATACACTACAGTTAAGTCCCCTGTTAAAGTTTGCTAGGAATAATACAGCACTTGAGGGTGGATAAGGGTGTTATACTTGTTACCAGTATTGTTACATTTTGTATGGGTGTTCTTTAAATTTCCGAAGATGAAGGAGAATGGCAGCAGTGGGGGGTTGTTGAGAGAGCAGGGTCCTTGCTCCTTGGGAGAAGGGACAGACCCATGAGCAACTGTTTCTACCTGGTAGATATTCTGAAACTGAGACTTGTTGGTCTAGCTTCTGTCTTAGCAAATTATCCGATGTCCAAATTTAATTCTACTGAGTTTTAAAGCCTTGATTACTGTAGCCTTATAGTATAGTCTGAAGTCAGGGAGCCCGATTCCTCCAGCTTCCTTTTTTTTCCCCCGCAAGCTTGCTTTGGCTATTTGGGGTCTATTGTGCTTGCATACACAACGTACAATTGTTTGTTCTAGTTCTGTGAAAAATGCCATTGGTAATTTGATAGGCATTGTATTGAATCTGTAGGGCACTTTGGGTAGTGTAGTCATTTTCATGATATTGATTCTTCCAATCCAAGAACATGTTGTATCTCTCCATCTGTTTCTATTGCATTTGATTGCTTCTATCAGTATCTTATAGTTTTCTGAGTACAGGTCTTTGTCTTGTTAGGTAGCTTTATTCCTATGCATTTTATTCTTTTTGTTGTGATATTAAATAGGATTGTTTCCTTAATCTTTCTGATCTTTTGTTTTTAGTATATAGGATTGTGAGAGATTCCCATGAGTTAATTTTTTTTTCTTTTGATTCTCATGGCTAAGACTATACTGGATAAAAGTGGCAAGAGCGGGCATCCTTGTTTTGTTCCTGGTTTTAGAGGAAATGCTTTTTCACTTAGTTTTTCAAGCAAGAATGATGCTTGCTGTGGTTCATACAAATCCATATATAGTTGCAGAGGTTTTTTGTAGACGTTCACTGGTTTTAATTGTGAGGTAGGATGAAACAGTGAAAGATCAGAATAGTGTTGGTAACGTCCCCTCTTGCTTCACTGGCCTGCTGGTGTGATTGCTAGGGATTTTGGAGTATTTGTGGGGTCTACTGGAAAGAAGTATATTGTAAATTGTAGAGAAAATTGCCCTGTAATTGGTAATAACAAATTCTTTGTACTTTTTAAAACAGAACGAGGGGAAAAAAAAAAACAGAAGAGGGTGCTAATATTTAAATTTGGTAATGATAAGGGCATGTCCTTTCTGGTAAAGCAGTTTTGAAACATATTACTTTTCTGTGTGCTTATGTATACAGTGTGATACATTTTCTTTTTTCTGCTAGACTTCATGTCCCTTTGAACACCACTTCAGTCTTCATCTATTGTTGCATTCCATTTACCCCTACAGTTCGGTGTCTGGCCCCAGTTCTCCATGCCTGTGTAACGCATACGTGTGAGCTTGTCCTGATCAGTCACAGTTGTCACCGCCCTTTAGGTTCCTGGGGCTTCCCTGGTGGCTCAGATGGTTAAGAATCTCCCTCCAGTGCAGAAGACCCGGGTTCAGCATTTAGACCTGGGTCCAAAAGGTCCCCTGGGAAAGGGAATGGCTACCCACTCCAGTATTCTTGCCTGGAGAATTCCATGGGCAGAGGGGCCTCAAGGGCTATAGTCCTTGGCGTTGCAAGAGCTGGACACGACTGAGCTCCAGGCTGCGTGCAGAAGGACGTAAACCTCTGTCTTTGGCACTCTGTAGAGCTGAAGGCGGGTTCAGCTCCACCTGCGGTGTAATGCCTGCTCATTCTGGTTGTGATTCTGTCTCCCTCACACAGAGCTGTGATCTGGACCAGCAGAGCATCGTTCACATTGTGCTGAGACCCCGGAGAAAAGGCCCAGAGGGGCACACACCTCGGGGGCGCTCTGACAGGGAGCCCCAGAGCCTGACTCGCGTGGACCTCAGCGGCTCGGTGCTGCCGGCCGACTCGGTGGGCCTGGCTGTTATCCTGCAGGACGGCAAGGAGAGCGGCGCCTTGTCAGCCCCCGGGCCAGGTAACTGGGGTGACTGTCCACGGCCAGTGCAGGGTTCTGGGTGGTGAAGTCTCTGCAGAGAATGGCCTCACTCTGTGTGTGAATACGTAGATCACAACACGTTCTAAATCACTGGACGGAGGCAGGACTGGGAGAGTGACGCTTTTAACAAGTACCGCAAAGCAGAGCTTTCCAATTAAGAATGAACATAAAGGATGACAAAAGTGTCAGGACCGCAGTGATAGTACTTGTCTGTTTGTCTGGAGGTTCTAGGGGCGATGGGGTCATGGGATACATTGTACTGGACTCAAAATACATGTACCGATATGTCCCTCTCCACGTTTGCCTTTCTTTTTTCTTCTGCTTTTGTTTACTTAAAATACATTTTGATTGATTATGTTTCTGATGAAATAGATAAATTTTTTTTAAAGTAGAAAGAGAACTTCAGAGGTAACTTTAGTCATTTTTCAGGTCGTAAGAAAAAATGACAATGTCAATCATATCCCTTTGTGTAAAAGAAGTTTTCCTTGTCTCTGTTGTGCAGCCTATTTCAAAAGTTTGCTTTGGCAAGAATGACAATCTCTTTATTATTCTGACAATATTCTGTGTTTCCCTTAGTCTTTGGTTCTGCAGTCTGAATAGTCGAAGGTATGACAGGACTGTTTTTGAACAGGTGACAGGAAACATGAAATAACGACTTTAGAAGGTAGCTGTTTATTTCTCGCCCACATGGAGTGTCTGAAGACATCAGCTGCCCCGGGCTGGTGTGACTTCCACAGTGTCAGAGACATCTGGAACCGGCAAGATGGAGGCCTCTTGCTGGAATTACTGAGTAAAACTTAATAAATATTTATAAAATCGTAAATCAGACTTAAGAAAAAAAACAGGAAACTTTCCAGGGGTGAGTGAAGAAGTGGAGAAAGCACAGCTGTCTTTGAAGAGAGGAATGCATAAACCTAGGATTTAGGTGCGTGAGCCGTCGTCACGCTGAGCCTGAGGCGGTTGTGCTAGGCTCTTCGTCCTTCCCATGGACTGGGCGCCAAGGAGACTGAAAAAACAAGTGGGGAATGAGGGAAAGTGAGAACAGTCTAAACCTCTGCAGTGCGCTTGGTGTCCAGAATGAGGAATTAATGTGAAAGCCAGACCCAAGCTTTGGAACCTCTGATGTTCCCAGCAGGATGTAGACAAAAACATTCCCGAGAGGGCTCGGTGGGCTTGGCATTGGCAGCTCCTGAGATAATCACGCTCTGCTGAAGGAGTCCTCACGATACACATTGTAAATCAAACAAAGGAGTACTTTACCCTGAGTGGAGGAGCACATATAAGGTAAACCAGAAGATTGGTTCCCCAGAAAACGTGAGAGAATAAAAGGACAGTTTGACATAGAATACAATACAGGTATGTTTTATGGTAATTAAGACAAAATTTTTTAAAAATGGAAATCAAACAAAAAACAGACCTAATAGAAAAAGGTAGCTATTGAGTAGAATATAAATTTAAACTACTAGAATTAAAAAGAAAAAAATCCTCAGCAGATTACTAAAAAGAGCAATTTATCAATGCCAAAGAGAGAATTAATGAATTGAAAGGTATATATGAAGAAATTGCCCATAGTGTGACACAGGTTAACGTGTTTACCAAAAAAAGTTCTTAGAGATGAAGAGTTTGGAATTAGATTTCCAAACATATCTGATAGGAACTCTTTTTTCCCCCTTTCTTTTTTCTTTCATAAATTATGAATGTATGATGATACATTTATAGGAGACTTGAAAAATAAAGAACAAAGTTGCATATAGTTTCACTATGTATTACAATTATTTTTTCAAGTAGATAAGATTTTTAGTTTGAGTTTCAATATCAATATCAAACTCCTCCAAACTGAGATAATGAATAGAAAAGTAGAAGGCTGTAGTAGAACTGAAAATCACTACAAACCAATTCAGAATCTTTAGATGAAAATTAAACCTTTACATGCATTACCTGAACATTAATAATAATATAAGTAGAATAATTATCATTTGTAAGTATTCAGATACTTTAGTATTTCCTAATGTATGTGACTCTACTATCTGGTCACTGGTTATTTATCTGAAGATTTTAGAAGTTCAATCTTGTTAGTTTAAAAATTGCCTTCAGTCTTCTTGAGAGTTTTATTTTATGATGAATAACTTTGTAATTATTGACACCTTCTGTTGGTTCTTGCTGTGGATCATAATACTTCTAGTGAAGAAAATATTCTCTTTCTATCATGACATTTATACTATAGAAAATTCAGGTATACTCAGGAGATTCTTCTAGATGTCTAATAGTCTACTGATATTTTAAGTGAAATGTGTAATCATTTCAACCAACACAGTCAGTCCAGGAAACTGGTGTAAATTTACACTGTACAGTACCAGTGTAAGAAGGGCCAGCAGCCTCCTGACTGGGTCTGGTTACTGACTTTTTAACCTTGACTTGCCGCACAGCCCTCATGTAATCTGACCTCTCTTCACCCTGTTTCTCATTTACCTACTGACCAGTGGTGATCTGTTAGCTGCATGTATTTTGCTGGCTGGGAATGCCCTTGGCACCCCTTGCTGGCAAGCCAGTTAGCCAGCGTCCTGTTTCTTCCTGCATCACCCCAGCTCAGGAGTGAGCTCTCCCAACACCTTTCCTGTGCTGTAGGGGAGGCGAAATTTATCTTGCATGTGGTAAGGAACAGGCAGAATAAGGGGGGTTGTCCAGGTCAAATTAAGGACTTTATCTGCATCGAGCTGAAAACTTTCAACTGCAAGGCGTGATCCCTTAAGCTCTGAAGTGGAGTCATCTCCTTTTCGGATGCTCATTCCTCTCATTGTTTTCTGTTTTGCACTCTAGTTCCTTAATGTGTGTCTCTGTGAGGCCAGGGTCAGATCAGTCCAGTTGCTCAATAGCAACTGATTCTTTGTGACCCCATGGACTGCAGCACGCCAGGCCTCCCTGTCCATCACCAGCTCCCGGAGCTCGCTCAAACTCATGTATGTTGAGTCAGTGATGCCATCCTACCGTCTCATCCTCTGCCGTCCCCTTCTCCCCCTGCAAACTGACAAAGTCTAGTGAGAATGTTTGCTCAACGCTTATTCCAGAGGCAGTTAGGCAAGAACAGAGACTCAGAAACCCTCGTGCTGCCCTTATGCTGAGTAGGGCTGCACTATAGCAAATGTTTCCTGACCTTTCAGCTGTGAGTCCTACCTAGAGTCTTCAACCAGCTGGGGAAAAGGTCGGGAAAGACAGGTGGACAAATCATGTCAACCCAGAGTAAGCAGGTGAGTCTCATAATTACCAGTTTTATATGTGAAGCATCTCCAGTGTATTTCCTTTGGAGAAAAAGAAAAGAGAAAAGATCTCTGGTTACAAAATGTTTGAAACCTTCTGCCTTTAGAAATAAATTGAAAAGAAAAAAAAAGCAGCTTTCTGCTCATTTCTAGGGGGGTTGAATTAGGCAAGGAAGAATTGAGGTGCCCACTAAACGTGAGAGGGCCCCAAAGGGTGGAGAATTGGGCTGCAGCCACAAAAGTCGATGCAACAAATAAGAACTGCAACTTGAGCACGTCTTTATAGGTGAAAAAGATAACTGGTCATTGTTGCTGGTGGTAATGTAGCATGGTAGGGCCACTCTGGAAGCTGGTTTGACAGATTCTCACAAAACAAATAACCGACCACGAAGTTCAGCCATTGTGCTCCATGGTGTCTACTCAGGTGGGTTGAAAACATGGGTTCACACAATTATCTGCCCATGGATGTTTATAGCAGCTTTATTCATAATTGCCCAAATTTGGTAGCAACCAAGATATTCTTATACAAGTAAGTAAAGTGTGGAATATTAAGAAAATATTATTTAGTGCTAAAAAGTTTCCCTGATGGTTCAGATGGTAAAGAATCTTCCTGCAATGAGGAAACCCGGGTTCTGATCCCTGGGTCTGGAAGAACACCTCGAGGAGGAAATGGCAACCCTCTCCAGTGTTCTTGCCTGGGAAGCCTAGGAACAGAGGAGCCTGGTGGGCTACAAGCTATCAAGCCATGGAAAGACATGGAGGAGTCTTAAGTGCATATTACTAAGTGAGCGAAATGAAACTGAGAAGCCTAATATTATATGATTCCAACCCTTTCACTTGATGGAAAAGAGAATAGTATAGTGACAATGAAAACCAGAAGTTGTCAGGGCGTTTTGGTGGGAGGGATGAATAGTCAGAGTACAAAGAAATTTTTAGGACACAGTACCTATTCTGTATGATAAAATGGTGGATACCATATCACTATAAAACCCATAGAATATGAAACACTAAGAGTGAACACTAAGAGTCCACTAAATGTTGGACTTTGAATCATAATGGTGTGTCAACGTACGTTGATTAGTTGTAATAAATGCCCTGCTGTGGTGAGGGATGTTGAGGGTAAGGCAATCTGGTGTGTGTGGGGAGGGGGGTGTATGGTAATTCTCTTTTTGATGTGTTTTTTGATCAGTCTGGCTGGGAACCTGGGCTTCCCATGTGGTGCTCGTGGTAAAGAATCCACCTGCCGATGGAGGAGACACAAGAGATGTGGGTTTGATGTCCCTGGAGCAAGACATGGCAGCCCACTCCAGAATTCTTGCCTGGAAAATTCCATGCCTAGGAGCCTAGCGGGCTATGGTCCATGGGGCTGCAAAGAGTTGGACAAGACAGAGCGACAGAGCGTAGAACATATCAACACAGCTGTGAACCTCAAATTGCTCTAAGAAATGAAGTCTATTAAAAGTAATTTAAATAGTTTTTAAGACTTGAGCCTTGGACCCATACTATAGATACATCATGGTTATTAGAAAATATGTTCTGATCAGTAATTTTTTTTTGCCAGTGGTTGAATGTTGTACAAGATGAAAATTATTCTCAGATTGTGAGTTAGTTAGGAGCTGCCACATACAAATCAATTAGAGAAAACTCCTAATGAATTAAAATGATAAACTTCAGACCTAATTCTTGTTTTATCCAAAAGTCAAGTCTCAAATACTTGAAAATGTG